AGTGCAAATGTTCTTTCATTTCACAATTCAGTTATGCTTGATTTTTTAGAAGCAAATCACCAGAATTACAATTTATTGCATGCCCTTCACTCTAAGGTCCCAGGGCAGGTTACAACAAATCAGCAAATGGTTTACTGGAGAGAATCTCCCCGAACCCTTTACAGTCGTACCTTGGTTGACGAACGGCTTAGTTTCCGAATGTTTTGGCTCCTGAACAATCAAAAACTGGAAGTGAGTGTTCTGGTTTTCGAACGGTTTTCGGAAGCCGAACGTCTGGCACGGCTTCCGATTGGCTGCAGGAGCTTCCTGCTGCCAATTGGAAGCTGCACTTTGGTTTCCAAACATTTTGGAAGTCGAACGGACTTCCGGAATGGATTCTGTTCAACTTCCAAGTTACGACTGTATTAGTTTGATCTATTTGCAAACAGCAGCCGAAAAGGGAGCGTTCGTGTTGCCTTACTTTTACAAAATAAGAAGAGGCAGGGGAGTTTTTATTGGAGGGTTAGTGTAGGAGTAGGGGCAGAGAACCTAGTAGTTTGAAAGCACGTCAAAGTGCAAGTAGATAAATAGGTACCGCTCCGGCGGGAAGGTAAACGGCGTTTCCGTGCGCTGCTCTGGTTCGCCAGAAGCGGCTTACTCATGCTGGCCACGTGACCTGGAAGCTGTACGCTGGCTCCCTCAGCCAATAAAGCGAGATGAGCGCCGCAACCCCAGAGTCGGTCACGTGACTGGACCTAAAGGTCAGGGGTCCCTTTACCTTTAGGGGCAGAGAACTCTGCAAAATGAAGAAAAAACCCCATATTAATGCCAGTTTCTTTTTAGCCTCAGCTCTTGTAACAAACGTTGCCTTTGTCATTTATGCTGCAACAACCATGCGAGCTAGAAATTTTGAGCCATTCAATTTCGGAGCATGCCAGATGCACTAGAGATGCACATAATTCTGCCTTATGGTAAGCTAGTGTCCTACATAATAAAAATGTGGAGTGCAAGTGAGCCGGCTCTTGCTCGGTGTCTTTACACTGTGGATAGATTTTTCTTTCTAAGTGAGATGTTTTCATCCAGGTCAATGACTCCCAAGCTGTGTTGCAGAGCATACTAGCTAACATGGTGTGCTCAGAATGAGCATAGCGTGTGGAAGCCTTTGGCCCAGTCTCTTGTCAAACAACGAGTCGTCAGCCTAATGGCTGCGACCTGGAAAGCAAGGCGTGTTGGTTTCCTAGCAATGTCACTGTGAACCTTCCATGCCAGGTGCCTGTAGAGTTAAGTGGGAAAGGTACCAACTGCAATCATCATCAACCTTTATTACAGTCCAGAGACCCAACAAATTGTTACAAAGCAATACACAATTCATATAGCCTACCTCCGGGTTAAACAAGCATTTCGTTCAGAATATAGGGATCATTGGTTCTTGCAACCAGAGATAAAAACTTGGCCACTGCTAATGTTCTAGCATTTGTCCGGTCTTCCAATAGGAACCTGACATAGTGAGCCTCTGATTTTCCCGGGAAAGGTACCAGCAAGGGTAATATCAGTTCAGCCCTGGCTTGCTCATATTTTGCACAGTGCAACAAAATATATTTTATGGAATCGCTGTCTTGAGCACATGAGCAAAGTCTGTCCTGGTAGGGAACTCCTCTCAACCTGCCATCCAGCACTGCAGAAGGAAAGACGTTTAGTCTGGCTTTGGTGAAAAGCCTTCGATAATTTGGTACTGTCAGGTTTTTAATGTAAGATGTTAACTTAAAGACCAACTGCAATCATGGAGTAGTCATCTTAAGACACGGCATCTTTATTTGGGATGTGCTAGGTAATAAAACTCAAATAGGACTGAGGCACGCAGTTGCTACATGCTGCCTGCATTCCCCTTTTTCTGTTAAAGTAAATACATTTAAGCAATGCATCCTGGGAGATACAGATGGGCTCTATCCCTGCCACACTGTGAGTGTGGGGAGGAATTGTACCAGCAAAGTACAAAATCCCAGTTCCACTACAAGGTAAGCTCTGCTGCTAAGAGGCTTCGCTTAACTTTTGTTGTTTTTTAAGATGTGCAGCGGCAAACTTGCAGAGCCACTGAAAGCTCAGTTGTACCATCCATCTGCAGACATTTCTTCTTCATTAATTTGTATCCCACCTTTCCATACAGCTTCCCTGAATATGCAGATGTTTTCCAGAAAGTTAAAATACCTGCAAAATATGCCCATCTGTATATTGCTATAAAATATCTGAGCTCCCTGTTCTTGGGGTAAAGGGACCCCTGACCATTAGGTCCAGTCGTGGCCGACTCTGGGGTTGCGGCGCTCATCTTGCTTTATTGGCAGAGGGAGCCGGCGTACAGCTTCCGGGTCATGTGGCCAGCATTATTAAGCTGCTTCTGGCAAACCAGAGCAGTGCACGGAAACGCCGTTTACCTTCCCGCCGGAGCGGTACCTATTTATCTACTTGCACTTTGATGTGCTTTCGAACTGCTAGCTTGGCAGGAGCAGGGACCGAGCAACGGGAGCTCACCCCGTCATGGGGATTCGAACCGCCAACCTTCTGATCGGCAAGTCCTAGGCTCTGTGGTTTAACCCACAACACCATCTGCGTACCGTGTTCTTGGGGTAGTTATATTTAAAAGGTGGAGTGCATGTTGTCAGGTTGCATGTGTACATATTTCTACATAAACACATGGAAGATTTTGATTTGGGTTGGTTTCTTAATTATTATTATTTACTAATTTTAAAAATCAAGATGAAACAAAGCCACTACTTCGGGTCCGACCCTATCATTAGGCAGAGTGAAGCAATCACTGCAGGTGGCTGCTGTGAAGGCCAGGAGCAGAGAGAGTTTAGGCAAGGAGCTGGGCGGATGGACATGTTAGTCCCACACAGATTGCCCATCAGCAAGCCATCAATTTGTGGTGGCTAGGGGACACTGCCTAGGGACACGGGTGGCGCTGTGGGTTAAAGCCTCAGCGCCTAGGACTTGCCGATCGAAAGGTCGGCGGTTCGAATCCCCGCAGTGGGGTGCGCTCCCGTCGCTCGGTCCCAGCGCCTGCCAACCTAGCAGTTTGAAAGCACCTTCGGGTGCAAGTAGATAAATAGGGACCGCTTACTAGCGGGAAGGTAAACGGCGTTCCGTGTGCTGTGCTGGCTCGCCAGATGCAGCTTGTCACGCTGGCCACGTGACCCGGAAGTGTCTCCGGACAGCGCTGGCCCCCGGCCTCTTAAGTGAGATGGGCGCACAACCCTAGAGTCTGTCAAGACTGGCCCGTACGGGCAGGGGTACCTTTACCTTTACCTTTAGGGGAGACTGCCAGTGCTGGTGTAAGATTCAACTCCTTCTTACATGGAATGAAGGAGGGTCCCATCTTGTCCCTTACCTCAAACTGCAAAATGTCTGAAATTACAATTCTATAAATCACAAATTAACAGTGCTGGTTTTTAAGTATTTCCAACCGAATCATTTAACTTAGCTTTTGAAGTATTCATGTAAATAAATAGCTTTGTAATGAGTTGGCTCCTTTGCAATCTGTGGATTCATTCCTGCAAAGTTCATTATCTGATGCCCAGATCCAAAGAGTTTGCAAATTCTACAAAGAATTTAAGTGCAGGGAACAAGAAGGAATAATTCCTCATCGTATGATTTCATAATAACCTGCTTATTGATCCCAAAGTAATGGAGGGCATCTATTTGTGAACATGACAGAAATCCTTTTTCAGTGCCAGTGCTCTGTAAACGAGTTTAACCTAGATGCACATTCATTTCCCTGCATGGTTTATCTGTATTTGTAAAGCAGTCGCTGTTCAACTTTGGTTTTCCATAGCCTGTTTGGAGAAGACATAGGATGATATTCAACCAAATTTCACTTGGATCCATTGAAGTGAATGGGTCCCTCAGTCATGTTCATTCATTTGAGTGTACTCATGAGTAAAACTTAATTGAATACCACCCATAATTTCAAACCAACACCCCCCGGAACAATTCTTATTTAATCTTTTGGTGAAACTTGATTGTAGAGTTGTTGCACATGGATTTCCAAAGCACTTCATTCTGCTGATTATTGAGCAGTAACAGACCCTCCTAGTGTCCCTATTTTCCAGGGACAGTCCCGAATTTACAGAAGCCATCCTGGTTCCTGATTTGATCTCTGAATGCCCCGCTTTTCCTTGAAGGTAAAGGTAAAGGGACCCCTGACCATTAGGTCCAGTCGTGACCGACTCTGGGGCTGCAGCGCTCATCTCGCTTTACAGGCCGAGGGAGCCAGCGTACAGCTTCCAGGTCATGTGGCCAGCATGACTAAGCCGCTTCTGGCGAACCAGAGCAACACACAGAAACACCGTTTACCTTCCCGCTGGAGCAGTACCTATTTATCTACTTGCACTTTGACGTGCTTTCGAACTGCTAGCTTGGCAGGAGCAGGGACCGAGCAACGGGAGCTCGCCCTGTCACGGGGATTCGAACCGCCGACCTTCTGATTGGCAAGTCCTAGGCTCTGGTTTAACCCACAGTGCCACCCATTTTTCCTTAGGATGTCCCTATTTTCATCAGAGAAATACTGGAGAGTATAATGTTACAGTGCAATCCTATTCAGGCCTACATAAATCCAATTGAGCTCAATGGGGCTTACTCCCAGGTAAGTGTTTTGAGGATTGCCGTCTGGAGGTTGTAGTCAACTCACTCTTATTCACAGTAGACCCATTAAAATCAATGGTCTTAAGTTAGTCCTGGCCATTAATGTCAGTGAGTCTGCTCCAAGTCAAAGTTAAGTATACAACTCAGAGCCTCTTTTTGAAATCTTACCTTAATTCTCTCCAGACTTTGAAGCCACCAAAAGCCCTCAACACAGTAGTTGGTACCTGCAGCCTGACATTTCCGCTGTCCATTGGTACTCGTGACAGCTGGCCATGTGCCCTTTAGGATTAGGTGTGGCTGACGCTGCATTGGAGATCATTTACAGGCTGACATTTCCACTTGTCATTTATTGGAGAGTGGGCGGGGTGTCAACTTTGAAAGGCAACGGCAGAGGGCTACAAGGAGCACTCCAGACCCGGCTGTGGCCCCTGTGGCAGGACAAGGAGGCACCGAAGACCAAGGGCATTTCCCCCATCTTTAAGAAACTCTTCTTGTTGACTTTCCAGCCCGGAGAATGTCGCACACAATGGTAAAACATGAGCACGCCGACACGATGGGGATTGGCAAGGCCATCGCCGTGTTGACATCTGGAGGAGATGCCCAGGGTAAGTGGACTGGTTGCTGGTGTGTGTGTGTTGTAGTGTTGGGGGTTTCCCTTTGTGGTCTGAGGAGCTAATGGCAAAAAAAAAGCCAATAGGCAGAAGTCACCAGGAAAGGGCTTTCATGTCTGGGCACTTTTTAGCATCCAGATTTTCCCTAAACTTGGTAAGATGACTCAAGTGGAACTGGTCTCTGTTGCAAATTGTAAATGTCTTTCCTCCAATCTGCCCTGCTTTGTGAGTTTTCAGAAGCATCTAACTGGCCATTGTTGGAAGCCAAATGCTGGGCTGGATGGACTTTTCATCCAGTAAGGAGCAGCTTTTTTCATTCTTTTCTATTCTGTCTCCCCTTCTTTGACTTTCTCCTCCCACACTGCCTCCAGCCTTTCTCCTCAGTAGTTCTCTGCCTTCTTGCTGAATGCTTTTTTCCCTTTGATATTATTTGTATTGCCTTTTTCTTAAGAGCCTTGAAAGCAATTTGTGGCTCATCAACCGCCGTTTGCCCACCTACCACCCCCATCTTGCAAGCAATGCAATGCTTTTAAAAAAATCCCCTCCAAAACATTTTAATTCGTTTTCAATACAGGAAAATACAGGTGCTTTTTTCAAACATGTTGACTTGTCAAGTTCTTCAGCAGACGATTCCTTATTTTCCTTTTCCTGACCTTGAGACACACACACAGAGATCTCTGTTTTGTTTATCTGCACTCATATATCTTCTCTTGCTGTCCAAGTCCCGTCTTAGTTTCAAGATGGATTTTTTTTTTAAAATGCATTCAAGCTGTTGACGGCATTACGAGTGAACATACCACTTGGCAGAGTATTATAAATAGAAAAAAGGCCATTCCTGCCTCCAAGGACTTGCAATTTCATTTAATATTGTATTTTTAAATTGTTGTACCCTTATGGTGAAGGGTGCGTAAGAAATGGAAATACTACTTCTACTAATATATTAGGGTATATTTTTATTTGTTTGTTTGTTTTTCTATACCACCCTATACAGTCATATCTCATGTTACGTCTGCTTCATGTTACGTTCTTTCAGGTTGTGACCCGGAAGTACCGGAAAGGGTTACTTCCGGGTTTTGCCGCTCGCGCATGCGCAGAAGCAGCGAATCACAACCTGCGTGTGCCCAGGCGTGCTGCTGTGGGTTGCGCTCTTTTCATGTTGTGAACGGGCCACCAGAATGGATCTTGTTCGCAACCAGAGGTACCACTGTAGCCGAAGGTCTCGAGGCAGTTCACATAAAATATCAAATACATAAAATCAAAACAAAACCAACAACCCAATAAAAAACCCCCAAAGAGCTAGCATTTTAAAAAAGGGTATAGGATGTAGATCAAGTCAGGCAAAGGCCTGGTTGAAAAGGAACATTTTTGCCTGGTGCCTAAAGGTGTACAGTGGTACCTCGGGTTAAGTACTTAATTCGTTCCGGAGGTCTGTACTTTACCTGAAACTGTTCTTAACCTGAAGCACCACTTTAGCTAATGGGGCCTCCCGCTGCCGCCGCGCCATCGGAGCACGGTTTCTGTTCTCCTCCTGAAGCAAAGTTCTTAACCTGAAGCACTATTTCTGGGTTAGCGGAGTCTGTAACCTGAAGCGTATGTAACCTGAGGTACCACTGTATAGTGAAGGCACCAGGTGAAGTTCCCTGGGGAGAGCATTCCAAAAACAGGAAGCCACTGCAGAGAAGGCCCCGTTCTCGCGGCTTCGGGTGAATGCACCTTGAACGCACCTTGTTTTATAGGGGGAGAACAAGAAAAAAATAATTATTGTTGCATCCTATAGAGCAAAAAATATGGTAGTCTGTTAGGTTTTTCATTTCTAATATGCCATTGCATCCGCCTTGCCAATCCTGCCAATTCTTGTAATCCAAATTCACCCTAGGAGACAACACACCAAGCATTTCTTGAGTCAGAAATCCCCTAGGCCCCCCAACATCTGAAGGACAAATAATAATAATAATAATAATAATAATAATTATTATAATATTATTAATTATATTATTATTATTATTAATATCCTGCCCTCCCCAGCCAAAGCTGGGCTCAGAGCGGCTAACAACAGTAGAATGATAGAACATTCTAAAACCATTTCATTATAAAATCAGTTCAAATCAGATTAATGGCAACCATTGGGCTAGAGTTCTGTGAGGATTACCAAAGGAGGGGGTCAGGCTGTGCCCTGGCCAAAGGCCTGGTGGAACAGCTCTGTCTTGCAGGCCCTGCCCTGCGGAAAGATGTCAAGTCCCGCAGGGCCCTAGTCTCTTGTGACAGAGCGTTCCACCAGATTGGAGCCATAGCCGAAAAAGCCCTGGCTCTGGTTGAGGCCAGCCTAACCTCTCTGTGGCCTGGGACCTCCAATATGTTTTTGTTTGAAGACCGTAAGGTCCTCCGTGGGACATACCAGGAGAGGCGGTCCCGTAGGTACGAGGGTCCTAGGCTGTATAGGGCTTTAAAGGTTAAAACCAGCACCTTAAACCTGATCCTGTACTCCACCGGGAGCCAGTGCAGCTGGTATAGCACTGGGTGAATGTGATCCCACAGCGAGGACCCTGTAAGGAGTCTTGCCGTGGCATTCTGCACCCGCTGGAGTTTCTGGGTCAGTCTCAAGGGCAGCCCCACGTAGAGCGAGTTACAATAATCCAAGTCTGGAGGTGACCGTCGCGTGGATCACAGTGGCTAGGTCAGGGCGAGAGAGGTAAGGAGCCAACTGCTTAGCTTGGCGGAGATGAAAAAATGCCGCCTTTGTTATAGCTGCAATCTGCGCCTCCATGGAAAGGGAGGTGTCAATTACACCCAAACTCTTAACGGACGGTGCTGGCACTAATTGTGCCCCCGCAAGAGATGGTAGTTGCCCCCCAATCCCATATCGTCCCAACCCAGCCAAAGGACCTCTGTCTTCGAAGGATTTAACTTCAACCGGCTCCCACGTAACCATCCAGCCACAGCTTCCAAACATCTGATCAGTGTGTCTGGGGCCGAGTCAGGATGGCCATCCATCAACAGATAGAGTTGGGTGTCTTCAGCATACTGATGGCAGCCCAACCCAAAACTCTGGGCAAGGGGGTGCATAAAGATGTTGAAAAGCATTGGGGAGAGTATCGCACCCTGCGGCAATCCACACACCAAGGAGTGGCGCGACGACAGCTCCCCCCCAAGTGCCACCCTCTGTCCCCGACCAGAGAGAACAAGCGCAGCCATTGAAGAACTGTGCCCTGGATCCCTACATCGGCGAGGCGGTGGTCCAGGAAGGGCCCTGCACTGTGTAGTAGTGGATAACTTGCAGGCAACCATTGACCTAATTTCATGCAGCAATAGGTTCCCCCTATCTGGAAATTGCGAGTGGAAATGTATCCATCCATTTCTGGCTCTAGTGCTGCCCTCCAGGTATCTAATCTATGGCCCTCCAGATGTTGTTGGCCTCCAACTCCCATCTTCCCTGATCATTGGGCATGCTGGCTGGGGCTGATGGGTTATGAGAAATGAGTCCAAGAAGATAGAAAGGCTGTATAATGCTACCACATCAGCTGTGCAGCCTGGGGATAGATGCAGGAGTGAGCCAGAAACATCATTCCATGAAATACATCCCTTTGACCTTCCTTAAAACCATCACCTCTTTTGCATAGTTCTTGCAGCCTTGTTGGGTTCTGCTTCCACATATGCCTTAAGGGAAGAGCAGCATATAGGGTGCCCCTTCACATACTGTTGACTCACATCAGCCCCAATCAGCATAGCCAATGGTCAGTGATGATGGGAGTTGTAGTCTATCAACATCTGGAAGGCACCACATTGGCCACCATTTCTTACCACCATGAGACTAAGATTTCTCAAAGCTTTTGTTGTGTCCATTAACCAAGTATGGCCTATCTACAGGGCAAATGTGAGCATCTGTCTCAGATACTAGCACCAAACTAGTAATTTTGTCACCTATCATTTGAAGCTAGATGTGCCCATGCTTTGATCTGTTAGATGTTAAGCTGTACCTCTGGGTTACATCAGCAGTTATTGTTCGACATCTGTCTAAACTGCAAAAGCCCTTCATAAAACACCACAACTGTGTAGAATATCCACTAATAATAATAATAATAATAATAATAATAAATTTAAATATTCCCCGACCAAAGCCGGGCTCAGGGCAGCTAACATCAATAAAATTTCAGTAAAAACATAATAAGGAAAATAAATAAAATACAGGTTAAAATGCAATTTAAAATGCAGCCTCATTTTAAAAGTCAAAACCATAAGGGGAGGGAAACATGAGGGTCAGACTGAGTCCAAACCAAAGGCCAGGCGGAACAGCTCTGTCTTGCAGGCCCTGTGGAAAGATGTCAAGTCCCGCAGGGCCCTAGTCTCTTGTGACAGAGCGTTCCACCAAGTTGGGGCCAGTACTGAAAAGGCCCTGGCCCCAGTTGAGACCAACCTAACCACCTTGTGACTTGGAACCTCCAGAATGTTGTCATTTGTGGACCTTAAGGTCCTCCGCGCGACATACCAGTAAAGTTGTACTACAGGTACATACGTCCATAGTTGGGATTTCCAGGAAACCAGCCAAGGATTAGGTTTCTTCTCCATATTGTGCTCCTGTCCACAACCATACATACTTAACTGCTGCGTGCATGGGCAGTGGGTTTGTGATGTAGTATAGCCCTTGTGAAGTCATGTTGCCAGGCCATGTTATTGTGACAACGCATTTTGCAAAAAGCCTCTCAAGTTATCACATCAGATCAACAGCAGCTGTTAATCTGATGTGAACACACACACCCTGCCGCCTCTTGCATATTAGTAGTAGCTCTTCCACCACCACCACAAAGTCACAACAGAATGCCAACACCACATCACAAAGTAGTATCAGAGTAAGTCCTAGCCTGGGTCACACTGAGTGATTTAGTAACAGTGGGTGGAATTCAACATGGTGCTCCAACTAATCTTTTGCCCGTACAGTGGTACCTCAGGTTACATACGCTTCAGGTTACATACGCTTCAGGTTACAGACTCCGCTAACC